GACTACACCAGTCAGCAAAGATGTCAATCTGATTTTGAAGATAATGGCAGTTGGCGAGTGAGCGGATGCGCAGAAAAACTTTCAGATCGTTTGCAAACGATAATAGTGGCTCTGTGATAACATGGTGAACGTCGTCGAAGTAGAGGAGAAATACCAATGGTCCCAGATGGCTGCCCTGAGGTATACCGGACTTTGCGCAGAAGCTTGCTGAGCGACAAGTACCCAAAGTTACTGTCAATTGGCGCTCCGTGAGGTATGAACGAAACCATCTCAAAAGATTTCCACCGATCCCTAGCCTATCAAGCTTAGCGATCGCAATTTCGTGGTTCAGCTTATCGAAGGCTACCGTAAGATCTGTGTAGATAACGTCCGTTTGGGTCCGAGCAATCAAACTGTCTGTGATGTAAGACGTTAGGCACAGCAGGTTCGTAGTTGTGGAACGCCCAGTTATGAATCCGTGTTGATCTGTACTTAGATATTGCCTGCAATGCGCATTTAGGGACTCTATGACAACCAATTCAAAAAGTTTTGATACAGCACTCAGCGACGTGATTCCCCGGTAGTTGTTTACGTCGCGTTTGTTTCCCTTTTTATGAACAGGAAACATATCCGCAGTCTTCCAACAAGACGGAAAGATGCCGCTGGAAAGAGAGAGCTGGAATATGCGGCGCAGTGGATCTAAAAGACAAGTGATGTTCTTTTTAAGAATAATCGACGGAACACCATCGGGTCCAGCCTTAGTTGAAGTCTTAAGTTTAGATGCTGCTCTAGAAATCGTATCTGTAGTGGCTTCGACCATGCTGAGCGTTTGGTTGATCAAAGGAACATTACTGGCCGCGGAAGTAATGATATTAGCGGAGAGTTGCTCGGCTTCAAACACACTAGCAAATTTGGCTGAGAACAGGTTGCAAATGTCTTGTTGATTTCCAGCAGTTTCACCATTAAAAATCATGGAAGAGGGTAAGCCGACTTCCCTGCGTTGCTCATTTACGAAGTTCCAGAAGAATTTCGGGTGTGATTTTAGCCGCCGTTGAATCCTCCTTCGATAGCGTTGAAAACAGAGACGACTTAACCGCTTATACTCGTGGTTGAGTCTGACATAGTAGCATTTCAGTGGCAGTGTGCGGAGTTTAGTAAATCTTCTGAGAGCAGCCTTCTTAGTTCTTTTCAACGAGCGAAGATCTTTCGTCATCCACGGGACGCGAGAGTCGATATGGATGATCTTTTTGGAAACGTGTCTGTCAATGACATATGCCAAGACGTGAGAAAAGGTTTGTGCAGCAATGTTGACGTCTACAGGATCTAGAATATGCTCCCAATCTAGGTTAGACAGCACATGGACGATACTGCGATGGTCAGCTCTACGGAAGTCATATGACACAGCGTTTGGAGTGCTGGTGAAATCATGGACAATATTATTTTCGATCACGATAACTAAAACAGGGTGATGCTGCACTTCCTTGACTAAAGGATCGGGTGTCGTGGAGAGGAAAGGAGCTGTATCACGAGCACTCACAAAGCAGAGATCCAGGGTGCGGTTGTTTTCATTCAACAGGCCATTGATTTGTGACAGAATTGCGATACTGTAACTGTCCAGGAGCTGGATGGTTCCTACGTGGAAAGATGAACGCTCGTGATCAGGACAAAAGAAACCACTATGGGTTGGAGTCCATGCAATGTCCGGTAGGTTAAAATCGCTAAGAACAATAACTTCGTCGGAAGGGCCTGCTTTGTCTGAAGCGGCCAAGACGGATCGACAATGTGCGTCAATAAGCTCCAAGTCACGAGTTCGATCTGGAGGAATGTACACTGCACAGAGAAGCAATTGACGATCACCAAGTTGAATAGCCACCCACATTTGTTCAACCCTGTTCCAGGACTCGTCCTCGATAACTTCTGCTTTCAGCTTGGAATTAACTGCGATAAGGACGCCTCCCCCAGTAGTTTTCCTACTATTATTCGTGTTTCGATCGCAGCGAAATGTTTCGTAGCCAGCACCAAAGACATAGTTTGAAATAGTTCGATAATTGAGCTATGTTTCGGTCAAAACTAAAATGTCGTAGCAGTGATCCATGACGGCCAGATGATAATCTTCCACGAGGCCGTTCATACCACCAGCTATGTTGACAAAAGAATAATAAAAACGGACCAGACTGGAACTGAACCCTGGACGTCGGGATTACGAGGCCCGTGTGTTGACCATCAGTCTATCAACGCTTGATGGATGTAATTGGTAAAGGTGTATAAGAGCTACCTCATGTTTGACGAAAATCATTATCTTTCATAAGTCCTGGTTCTCCCATCAAATTACCGATTACTTTTAAAATTCCCGGATATTTACCGACTTTCCCGGATCACTGGCCACCCTGAGGATGGTTTCAGGGACGCCACACAATGGCAAGAAGAGAGTAGGTACACTTGCCCTGATCAGCGAAAGATCGCCGGTAACTATCGTGGATAACGAACTGATGGACCGGGGGAACCGTTGCAGATATGCTAAACCAATGGCGTGCAGCCGACAGACAACCTGTGAGTATCGCTTGATTTGTTGAAAGCTCGTATGGTGCACAAGCAAGATTTTCCTGCACAACAGGTGAATTCTCGGAAGCTGAAGTTGCAGTGCGAACATCTCAAGGACGAACAGATTCCTAGTTACGAAGTAGCTGCACCAAAGGTGGTGTTGGTAGGAACCGACAACGTCCACCTGATTGCCCCATTGGACTCCCGAGTTGGAGATTCTAGTGAGCGTGATGCCGAACGTCGACAGCAGTACCAACTTGTTGGGACATCATCGTTGTGTATGTGAGGAGTGCAACAAACCGAACAGGGAGCTGGATCAAGTATTACCATCTGGAAGAGGTCGGAACTTCGGCGCTTCGATTGGAATCAAGAGAGGGACGAAGAACGGGAAGGACTGCGAGCAACAGTAGAAGTTTCTTTTACTGATACGTAAAAAGATACCATCTACGATACGTAAAAAGATACCTGAGAACAAAAGGGACCAGCAGCCACCAGGATTGAGCAAGGATCCTGGGGTCAAAAGCAGTTTCAAATACCATCGCCATTTTCAAACAGATTAGTAAACAAACTAAAATCCAAATTGTCAATTCTAATTTCGACCTGTCATACGACGTGTTGCGTTGGAAAGGAAAAAAACTAGTGTTCTCCCAACTGTATCTAGAATCCTGAACTCTATCGTCGCCGTCGGTGTTATTAGAAGCCAATATAAACAGAATTTTGGAAAATAGAAGAAACAAATTCAGGGTATGGCGATGGAGCCTCAACAAATCGACAGCAACCTGACTTTCTCCCAGGTCAAGGCTTAAGCAAGCTGCCGCCCACGTTACCCTGCACGGTTACCGCTAAAAACTTCCTTTTTTCGCATTTTTAAGGAAAGTTGAACTATCCATTAAATGACCAAAATTATACGAATTTATGAGTAATTGCTAGTACAAAAATGAGTTAACGTTATTTATTTATCAATAACGGATACTAATGAAAGATTAGAGAAATATACACATTTTAGGAGTAGTCCCGTTTTCCCTCGAATATGCACACTTTATAGTCTAAGTTGAGTCCTTTGTACTCATTTTTGTGTATTTTGCGATTTCCGTGTAGATTGAGATTGCTACTATTTATTAAGTTATTTTTTAATCAGATCTAATACCGATTACCACCTACGTACAATTAAACTTAAATGTTTCACGAAAATAAAATCGAATTCATTTGAACCATATTCTTCGAAATATCGTTTTAACAACTTCTGTGGCTCAATTACTAGTGTCGGCGGCCATGAATTCGTCAATACCTGGGTTCAAATCTACTGCGTGACATTTTTTTTTTATTTTTTTTTCACGAAATGCAGAGTAAAAGCGAACAATTATTGAATAGATACATGTCAATAATTACGCCCCCCCCCCCCTTTTCTTGGAAATGTCCGTATTTACTCTGAATCTCACATTAAAACAAACGGAAAAATCATATTTCTATTTAGATTTAAACACATGTTTTGTCGAATTCATAGCCGTCGACGCTATTAGCTGAGCCACTACAGTTGTAAAATCAATAGTGCGAAACTTGGTTGAAAAAATGGCTTTGATTTTTTTAGAAATATTTATATCAAATTATAATAAATTGTTAAAAAAAAGCTTGATATGAATAATGTCAAAATTTCCATAAGAAACAATATTTCTTTAGGGGACATACTTAAATTACGTAGCGTATCAAAGAGACCCCCCAGTAGCGTATTTCTATATTCCTAATACATAATCGATCACAATGTTTGTAGACCCCCTCCCCCTAAAATGCTACATCATTTATGCATGGTCCGTTACGATAGATTGTGAAATAAAAATCTGATTAATCTTGCGTGGAATAGCTGATATTCTTCTGCCTGCACACACATTTTAAACAACAGGATTACTCCCTCTATAATTTAATTATGAATAGTGTGAAAAACAATAAGACCTATATGGATGGGATCCCACTCTCTTCTCCGGTAAACTTAGCGAATAGAACACTATCCATTCATTCAAGAATCGCAAATATTCTCAAACTAATAAATTCTAATTATAGCCACGATGGGATTCGAACCCCCACCCTACCCGGACCCTACGGCAAAAATAACGCCACGCAGTCCATTGTACCAATCTCAACCATCCTTAAACTAACACGCAAAAGTGGAACACAAGAAAAGTTGAAACTAAAAATACAACGAAAATTCCCACCCGTTGCGCATGGTACCACTCATCGAACCAAAGTCCATTACCAACCAACACCTCCAACGACTTTTATTGCATCAGCAAACTCGACTTCTTTCAATTTCACCCCCACCTGCCAACATCACGATTATTAACTAACCACTCCCCGTATGCAATAATAAAAAACTAAAACAGCAACGAAGTCAAGTCATTCCGCAGAATCGACGCAATCAATGAGAGATAGCGAATTGCTTTTCCAGCAAAACCGAATCCCCCGATTGATTGGTGAAGGGAAATTACCTGCATTCAAACCAGACAGCAGCATGTTGTGGTTCTGACGACTGAGGAGTTTCAGCTTCAACGGATCCAGCACCGTCACTTTCCGGATCATCCGTCCAGTTTCATCTTCGGTGGCCACCGACGGTGCCGCCGATTCGCATTGACCAGGCTCCTGTTTGACCCGAAACGTAAAACTCGATCCTTCGCCTGCTGCTGACGTATCCATGGTGCCGATTTTTTTTTTCTTTTCCCTTATCTGGAGGAAGGTTCGTGCTCCACCAATGCGGAATGGAGTGCTCTAGAAACTTGTCGTTTTCACACTCCCCTTCACTTCACTTGTACCATTTTCCAGCAACTTCACAAAAAGTCCATCATTTCACGTAACTTTTCCCTATTTTCATCCAAATTTCTTCTGAAAAGAACGGAAATTTCCAATTTTTCATCATTTTCAACTAAAAGCACATTTTTCGCGACTGCCTTCCCAAATGCCTGCTGCTTTCTCGGCGATCCAATAAGAAAAAATGCAGACACTGGCTGACAGCGAACGAACGAACGAAACGGAGAAAAACGCGACGAACTGAACACGGTTGGTCAGTCAACGAAAGAGCGAACGATTCCCGTAAAACGAACAAGAAAAGTCATAAGGTGCGCGATAAACGTCGACGAAATGGGCGGAACGTGCGGCTGCGGGAAAGGGAAGAATAGAACAAAACTAATGCAACGCAATCGGGAAAAAGAAGCCAGCGTCGCGACTTTTCGGATTCTGCTCTTCTTCGAGCCCCACTACAATCAGAAAATGGAATTTCTACCGACGCTGGACGCTGGAATCGAACCGCGGTTTGAGCGCACGTAACAACACTTTCACTTTTTTTTAACAACACTGCACTTGCATTTGGATTGTATCCGATCAACAATAATTATTTTTTCAATGATTTTAATCGCGCGGAACACGTATACGCAAATGGCGTTCGAACTAAGGAAAATTGGCTTTAGCTGCGAGTTTCGCGTTCAGATTGATGTCGGTAACTGTAGGACGCTGCATGATCGACGCTGGAGCAAACAGCGAAAAGTGTTGTGAAAATGTTTTCAGAAAGCGTAGTATGATCTTCTTGCTCTTTCTATTCGCGCATCTTGCGGGCTACGTGACAGAGATAGAGCAATGTTGACGTTGTTGACGGTTCGGGCAATGGATCTTTTTTACTGTGGTACCCGATGAAAATAAAATATTTCCCATTATGTTGGTCGTTGAAAGATTACGATACAAACAGCCTTGACCCGTAATATTGGTGATTGCTGCAAAAACTGCTGTTAGATGTCAATACCGAAAAACGATGATGATTTTGGATTTATCTATTATTTTTTTCAACATCAATTCAATGATGGATTAATTTAAAATGAAAAGTGAAGGCCACACCGAGGGCCACACATAAAAAAACACTCAAGTTAAACACTAATGCGCACAATCAATCACCGAGCTCCGTACACTAAAAAAAAAAAACAATGCTAATTTTTTATGTGTTCCACACATAAATTTTGGAAATGTGATAAGCAAATGATATATATGTGTCGGACCTATAAGAGCTATTTTGCTGACTGTATTCACCTTTATACAGCAATATTGTAAAGCAATGCAATGAAATCTAAATAATGGAGCTAGAAAACATTTATAATACGTCTAATAAAACATGTTATCAAATCAATTGAAACAATTGTATTAAAGCGTCAATGTATGTGCAAATTACACTTATTCAGTTTGTTATTAGATCACTTCTAATTCTGAATCAAGAAGACAGTCAACGTTTATAAAGCTTTTGATAAGTATATTAATCATATTAGAGCAAACAGTGGAATAAAGGCGCATTTATCGATCTCAATGAGCTTTTTTCAGCACATAATTCGACATCCTGTTTGATTCAGCATTGTACTCTGTTATACAGCAATTATTCAATATGTATGCTTATTTGTGACTTTGAATTGTTTGTTGGGTTGGGACCGAAGATGGTACCAGAGCTGAGCCAAAAAGTTGAGCACGTTTCTTCGGGACCTTCCGGTCTTAGAGTTACCTCTATGGTAGTCATGCATGATTAAATTCGAAATAATCTTTCTAGTATTAAATTTTATTCTTTTTGAATATTAATAATACCTAATTAAAAAAGATATAAAATTCAATCAAAAATTATTAAAAAAGGATAAATAATGGGTAAAATTTATTCAAAAAAGATAATTTTCAATCTAATCAACCATAATTAAAAAGGGTTTAATATCAGATGATTATTTTTTAGAAATAGAGTATCACTTGTTAATCATTCGATTTGTTTAAACAGAGTTTAATGCCAATTTGATTATATCTCAAGCAAAATGGGAATAGTTTAATTTATAAGTGTAGTGTTGCCACACACAAAGAACAAAAATTGTTGTAATAAAAATAATTCACTTTCAAATTGAAAATTCCTCAAACTTCATAGTTTCAACAACGAATATTTTCAAAACGAAAGCTATTTTTTTGGTTTGAAAGTTTTTCGTTCATTGATGACTCGTTATTTTAAAAGTGCATTTTTTTAAAATGAAAATTGGTTTACTGTCAAAAATACCTCTAAACACCAACACTTTTGGCAGCACTGAAATTTTGCCGCTAAATTTTAAGATAAAACATGCAAAACAAAACAGAAGCAGCAGCAGTAGTGTCATATCAATCCACTTTTCAAACATAGATTCTGCCCGTCCCTAAAATTGGCTTCCGGTTTTAGATTTCCGTGAATGGTTTTGAAATGTTGGATCAAATCAAATAGGCCCTACTCGACGATCCAGTAAGTGTTTTTTTTTATATTTTTAAACAACCTTTATAAATGCTTACTACTTTCGCTGTTTACAGTATTACCTCAAAACGACCCAAAATGAACGTTTCTTGGTTCGCACCATCTGCTGGCCAAACTTGGCCTGGAACCATTCATATTATCCCAAGATACCACGATCGAGTGCCGCACCGATTGAACTTTAGCAATCAATTACTGCCAAAATAAATGCGAAGCCCGAGGCCTTTGCCGGATTCGTTTCCCAGATTTAACTGTTCCTCGGACTGTACAATGTGCATCATATTTACTGTAGGTGTAATCTATTTTCTCAATGATTTTGAATTATAGACCCTTCAACATGTTCACAGGTTACAAGGATTATCAATCTTCAAGGAAACCTGGGAGCTGGCCTGGAGACTACTGGCAGAGATAAAAGCAATGCTTACAGTGTGCCAAATGCATGATATCTAACGATCCAAAACCGTTGATACATACTGTCTGAGTTCATCAGTTCATCACGAGCCATGATTTGATATCATAATAAAAATAATATATATAAAATTCAATAATAAAAAAAACTCTACATGTCATACTGACAATACTGGTATTTAAAATGAAAATATTTTAATTGTTCAATTCAAAGTGAAAAAGATCGTTTCAATTAGACCACACTTTCATGATAAAAATTTGTTTTGAATTTAAAATAATCCACTTTTTATTCCAACACTGCCATGCTTTTGTTTTGACAGAAGAACAAATCGTTTTGAAAGTTTGAACTTTTAAAAATAGGGAGCGGTTAACTTTTGAATTGATAGTAGGCGAAATTTTATTTTAAATTCTAAAGACTTTCTACCAAAAAGAACCAACGCAAACTTTTAATTCTACCAATGGTTTTTTAAATTTTATTAACGATTATTTTTTGTGTGCATGTGGTACACTGGAAAATTGCAAAAGCAGGTTCGTCACCAAAGTTTTCGAGCCACTCCGTCTGTCACTTCTTTTTTTGGTAATGGTTACAACAACCCCTTTATTTTTAACATACAGATAAAAAAAAACATAAGGTTGAAACTTTATCATGTTCTGTTTAAGTGAAGTTCATAATTTATACGGTTAAGGTTAAGTATGGAAAATAAACCATATATGGTAAGGTCAAGTTATGGTTCCATGCTTTTTCGGCTCCCACTTTCAATTACCTCGTGGAGGTGGTTCTTTATTCCAGGGAAACATGTCAGAAGGGTCTAACTCTAAACAATGACTTGGATCGTCGGTTTCTTACAAATGACAACACCCACTCAAACTAACTAAATCATCTGACAGAGTTCTATGAGCTGGTGTAGTCAGATTCCGTGGGTGTGTTCCCTAATAAAATTGTTATGGTTATTTTGCTTAACGTAATGTTCCGGATATCATCCAAACCATTTGTGGAATAGTAGAATAATTGGGGTTATCATTCGTTTATGGTATTTATTTATTAGGGTTGTAATTGGGTTGTTTAAATTCGAAAAAAGATACAGATTTTTATACATCATCGAATAGAGATTCATTTTCTGGGCACAACGATATTTTTATCGATCCCGTAGACATTCATCTCGATTTTTAAATCAAATTTAAATTTTTAATGTAATCGTAATCGTACTACTTATTTAAAATAGTTCCAGTGAATCAAAATTGATGAAATTTTGGATTTTGGTTCCATATTTAATGCAGATACCGAATATGTATTTACCACACTACCCCTAAACAACCCAATTCAAGAGAAATCGACGATCAAAGTCATTGTTTACGTTTCGAGTTATACACTTCTGACATGTTTTCCCTGATTTATGAGTGAGCCCTAGAGTGGGCCCATTTTGTTATTACATAAATCTTCTTCCGTGCATATTTTGCAGTGGGTTAAAAAATGTCCCTTTTACGTCTGACGCGTAATGGCGCGCACCACCCGAGTTTGCCTCTGTATTATTTCTTGCTTGCACAAAAAAACGGAAAATATGAGGAAAAAGAAAACGAGGTTTTCGAGCGAGCAGCCAGCCACACAGCAGAGTGAAGGAAAAAAGCTTATTGAAAAATACTTCGTATCACTAGCAGAGTGAAAAGCGCGTACAAGTCGGAGTGCAATTTCGCGGAGTGTGCGTTATTTCGTGGAAAATTCAGCCGCAAATGGTGCTGTTTCCTCCTAAAAATTGTGAAAAAGTGCAGCGCTGTTTTCGAACTACAAACATTTGTTAAAATTTGCTGGTATTCCTGTGGAATTTGGCCGTAAAACGGGACTTTCTTGGTGGGACCTGCCTGCCAGAGCAAAAGTGAATAGTCGCGTTTTTTTCGCACCGTATAGGCCTCCGCAATACCCTTGAAGCCAGCTGGTCAACAAGAGTTTTCCTATTTTCATCGCCGGATCCAATTGATTCGAGTTTGTTCTTTTTTGAAAGAGGAAAAGTGATTTTTCGGGAGTGCATTTTTTTGTTGGGTTAAGTTTGCGACAGCACGCAAAAGGAAAAAAAGACATTCCTCTCCTCGTACAGCACACTGCTGGCCATGGCCCGCTTCGCTTTGTTGCTAAGGAGAATTGCTAGCTGTCACAGGAGACTTCGGATCCGGAAAGTAAACCAAAGTTGAAAAACAGCAGCGCCTCTTGTGTGTGAATCCACAATCCCAACAGAGAGCCCCCGAAAATTGTAATCGAAAATTCGTAACGAGTGTTGTGTGTTGAAAAACAGAGAGGGTGAGACGGGGTTGGACATCATTTCGAAAATCACTAGCGTCGTGGCTGAAAACTCGGAAAACATTTTAAATATTCAATAAGAGAAGAAAAGGCGAGTTGGTGATCCGGGTGGGCCCCTTTGGCATGAGTACTCCGGACGGTGACAAATCAAGTCCGGGAGGGGGAACAAAAATGCAAGGAACGGGATCATCATCGGCGGTGGGATCTGGCGGAGGTGGCATGGGAGCCACAGGGAGCACTGGTGGATCGATGCCCGGATCTGGTGGTCCAGGAACGACGGGCACCACAACGGCATATCCGATCGATTTAGCATCGGCTTCCAAAGTTCTGGTTCGACCCACCGAGAAAACAAATATGCCAACGACTTACAGGTAATATTTAGTTCGTTTTTTTTCTTTCGTTTCATTGAAGCTGGTTGCTCGAATGCGATTTATTTCTTTGGTGAAGGTTTTGGTTACGGTGCGAACGTGTTTGAGTGTGTGGTTGTGAATGCGAATGCGATGTAGTTGTTGCCTTTTTCTAATGAGCAGTGCTGGCAAACTTGATGTAAGTTTTGAAAATTCTTGTGTTCAAAGTGCGTTTCTTTTGGATTTATTACAATATTTATTATATTATGAAGGAGAAATGCGTGTAAATTAAACATTGATATTTGAATAGTGCATTTTGACACGGACTTACTTTTGAAATAGACCAATGTATTGATCGATTCTCTTCATCGGTTTTCTCTCTGTTTAATAACTCGGCTACAAAAACGTTTATTGACGTATGAGTCACATCCCTAATAAAAATTGTATGGTTAATTTGCTTAACGACGTGTTCTGGGTATCATCCAAACCATTTGTGGAATAGTTCAATGATTTGGGTTATCGTTCGTTTATGGTTATTTTTTATTAGGGATTAGATCATGGATCGTTAGTTCTTAGATATACCTTTACAGCAATGGCAATGAAAAGAGATGAAGAAAATCGATTAATGTACATTGGTATAGTTGAAAAGTTAAGCGAAAAATCCTTTTTACGAACAAAAAAAAAAAAACACTGGAGAAAATTAAGTTGCTTCTCAGAATCATAAGGAACCCTAGGCCTCTGTCAAATTTCATTCATGAATTGGAAAATCAACTGATCGAAAACGGCTCGTAAAATGCTCTATTGCAGGGATTCTCAGCGTTTTTGTTGAATGCGACCAGTTTTTTTTTTTAATTATAAATTATCGACCAGACGAAGACAGATTTTGTAAGGATAAAATAACTTTAAAAGCCCAAAAATATAAAAAAAAAACACCACTCAAAATTGCCTAATTCTCGATAAAAAAAGAAAATTGGCTTTAATCGTCGAATTAATTTAAAAACGCCAAAATAACAACAACAAAAATTCGCTAACGTAGCAACAAATTAAATGCACTACAGTGGCCTCATCAGCGATTTATTTCCTCAAATTTGTGCTAGTGCTTTGCGTGAAACACTAAATAGCTCTAATTAATGATCTAGTAAAGTCACACATAAACTAAAGCGTTCAATGAATTTTACCGATACCAAACCAAACAAACATGAAATGTTGTCAAAAATAGGAAGACACTGTATCAGTCCAAAAATGGCTTTAAAAGAGCAAAGCATGGTCTAATAATACTAAATTATTTTTCTATGTGTTTTACGCGAGCGTTTCTCCGACTCTCAACTTAGTGTTCTAGTTGCACTTCCACAGTTATTAATTGAGAGCTTTCTATGCCAACCAATGCCTGAATTTGTATATTGTGTGGCAAGCACAATAATATTCTGTGCCCAGTTAAGTCGAGAACATTTCAAACCTGAAGAATTTCCTCGACCGGATCGTGCCTTTACTGACTAGGCTATGAGCACAGAACAGAAGGGGATGAATCAAAAAGTGGTTCGTTTTTCTGCTCAACAAGCGATGTGTTGTGGTAGCGTTCCACGGGGGCTTTCTATGTGCACTCACACCACATACAAACAGACATAACCCTCGCAAGGTGTTCATCGAACATGCATTTAACGGTCAATTTAAAAGTATCGTAGTTGGTAGTACCGCCACCTGTGGCGCGCACAGTCAATTCCCTTGCGTTTGACGTTTACATACTACCGCCATCTGTTCAGCTTACTACCCACCACAGTGTATTCAACAGGTAGCGGTAATGTTTTAGCGACGATGTTTTACAGTGGCAAAAGATGCTTTCTACCGCTAGGTGCGCTAGTGTTCGCTAATGACAAGTGGAGCCACTGTCTGGTCCGAAGTTCCACTCTTGTGCTGGCTCATCTAAAAATACAAAATTGGAAAACTTCTAATTTCTGGATTAACTTTACTAGGGGAATTTACGTATTCTCGGCAATCAAGCAGCGACCATCTTTCTATAGCCTTTTTTCTCTAAGGATATAATATGCGATATTGCATATCGCATATTAGCTTATTGCGTGCTCTCAACTTAGTGTTCTATAGATGCACTTCCATAGTTATTAATTGAGAGCTTTCGATGCCTGTACCATTTTTGCATTGGTATAACTGTGTGGCAAAGTCCAATCATACTTCTACGCCCAGGGAAGTCGAGAAATTTTCCAACCCGAAAAATTCCTAGACCGGACCGGGAATTGAACCCAGCCACCTCCAGCGTGGTCTTGCTTTGTAGCTGCGTCTTTACCGACTGAGCTAAGGGAGGCCCCAACAGGAACGCATACATATGCAGTATTGGTTTGTTTACAATCTTTTGCTACCAGCTGATCCAACAATTTCAGTCGAAAGAATTGTCAAAACAGTTTTGAAACGCTTTTACAAAGCTCCAATCTTCTCCAGTGAGCTGAGCTGCGTGTTAAACAGCTATGCTTTCATCGGCAACTCGAAATCAGCAGCATTTTGTAGAAAACTCTGCTAGATTGCTTTTTCCCAGTGGTAAAAATATAATCAAATTGAAGCTGAAAGCCTAAATAATCGTTTGAATGCATTCAGCGAAGTGTTTTCGTAAGAAAATCCAGTGAAATTAGCGTTTCAGTTTGGGTTGCCGAAAATAGTCTGTCATGCCGAAGCCGTCAATGTCTTCAGAGTAACTTTCAGGGTCCTCCTCAATAATCTTATGATTCAGTCCGATATTACCTAGAAATTATCTCCATAACAGTCTCGAAATTCTGTGCAGAACGCTTCAGGTATTCCCTCCAGCAAACTCTTGAAAATAACGCTACGATTATCTTCGTCTTCATAATCACTCTCGTGAACATTTGCTTCAATTTATCTTCATAATTATCTTTGAAATTCATTTAGAATATTCATCACACATTTCTTGGATTGTCCTTTTGAATTTTGAAAGCATTCTTCCAGAATTTCCTTGGAATTTACGTCAGAATTGCAAGGAAATTTTTCTGAGAATTCCTTTGAAATTATTCTCAAAATTCCCTTAAGAGAATCTTTTGGAATTTTCTTGGAATTGAATATCTTTGAAAATATGCTCAAAATTCCCTGTGAATGCATCTCGGAAATGATTTCTAAAACTTAATGAAATATCTTAGAAATTACCTTAAAACTAGCTTGAAATTCTGCACACTATATTCAAAATAAGATACCTTTGAAATTATTATCTATATTGGAGCTCACCTCTGAATTCTCTTTGCAATCGTTTCTAGAGCAACAATTGAAATAGACGGAACAGCCAAACGTAAACTGTTGCGACGAAGAAGACAAACTCTTGAAAGCGAATACAGTTTTTATTGCTTCAAGATTTATAGTTTTTCTCTTCTATCTAGAGCAACAAATCACTTCTTGTCTCTTGGACGTTAAACTTGTAAATGATTCCTTACTCCTAATATTCCAATGCCTACTTCTATTAATTCATCAATCGGTATCTATGCAGCGCCTACCTGTTCTACAACAACATTCCCCGACCTGTGTTGCTCGGAGCCTGCTTCAGCTAGAACAGCCAGCTTTACAACAGGGCGGTGCAAGATTCCAGTAGTCGTTTTCACTTCTGCACTACGAACTCGTTGATCTCGTCCCTACGTCCCACCTTTACCACCTTTCCTCTCGTCCAACTGTTTCGTGTTCGCTCGTCCACAATGATTACCAGATCACCAACCTTGAATTAGCCTGTGTCTTCAAACCATTTAGTTCGTTTCGTAATTGTGGGAAGATACTCCTTAATCCACCGAGTCCAAAATTGATCCAGCAAGTGTTGACAAATATTCCAGCTTGACCGAAGTGTTGCTATTTCACCCACTGGTAATCTAGCTGGTTGATTTACCCCGCTGGTGCTTAGCATGAGGAAGCAGTTCGGCGTGAGTGCTTCCTGTTCAGCTGACCCCAAAGGAATGTAAGTAAGCGGCCTCGAATTCACCATTGCCTCAGCCTCATTAAAAATATGACAAACGTTTCATCATTGGGCTTTCGTGCTGTTGAAAGTGACGCCAACGCACTCTTTACCGATCGAACCATGCGTTCCCATGACCCCCCCATGTGCGCTGCAGCCGGAGGATTTAATCGCCATTGTGTTGCAGTATTTGTGAACGTTGGTGCCAGGTTTTGATTTAACTGACGGATTTCTCTGTCCAGTTCCTGGTTAGCACCGATGAAGTTTGTTCCCTGATCACTGTAGATTTCCAGCGGAGCACCTCTCCGTGCGATGAATCGCCTTATCGCCATTTTGCAGCATTCTGTTGACAAGCTTGTGACAACCTCCAGATGAACTGCTCTAACCGTCAGACAAACAAACAGCGCCACCCACCTCTTGACTTCACTGCGACCTTGTTTAACAAGTAGAGGTCCAAAATAGTCGATGCCAACGTAACTGAATGCTCGATTAAACGGTGTCACTCTTGCTTCAGGAAGTGGGGCCATCATGGGAATATGTGGTGTTGCTTGATAAACCTTACACCACATGCAATTTTTCTTGATTTTCCGGAACAGAGCTCTCAATTTGGCATTTCGTTGACCGCAGTCTCGTTACTACCATGCTTGTATTGATGATGATACCTTTCCACCAACAGTTGTGTTCCATGATGTTCCTTGGGCAGAATGATAGGATACCTCATACTATCTGGAACGTGCACAGCATTTGGAATCCTACTATCCATGCGAATTACACTTCGATCCTCCATCATCGGGGATAACTTGTAGAGTTGACTTCTTTTCGATATACGTTGATACTCTTCACGGGGCACCTTCAGGTTTTGCTCCATAGTTGATATTTCTTCTCCATACGACTCTCTTTGTATTAATCGGCAGACAGTTTCTTCCGCTTTTTGAAGTTCATTTTGGTTTAACCATTGTGGTTTTGCAACCGATTGATTGCGAACCTTACGACGAAGATTGTCTATATATCTGTGGACATAAGCAACTGTGCGCACAAGTCGCTCCCATTTTGAAAATCTCTTGTTGAAAGT